TTAAACAAGACCTCAGCTTTTTTTAAAAAATAAACAGAGAATAGAAATAATACGCCACGTGGTCAGAAAAGAAATTGCCTATAATAATTCAATTTCAAAAATTTTTTTGTTATGAATATTAACTACTAAAGCACGAAAATGTTATTTTCTATAACATAACCTACTTTTAAGACTACCTAGTATTACTCCCCCCAAAACCAACAAACCAACAAACAATACAAAAAAACAACAACAACAAAACAAAACAAAAAACCAACCTCGATTTCTTACGCAGTCAAAAAGTGGTACCTTTCTTTTAATCGCCAATATAATATTATGTTCTTGGTATTTAAAGTACATACTTGTACATTCAAACATTCTAAAATTAATTTAATGACGAAAAGATTTCCGCAGCCCGCCGATTTGGCAATGCGCGAGCTGGACTGTATACATTTCCATAGACCTATAATTAGTGTTGTGCCTTTCCAACCTATTCAAGCAAGTACAATGTACACATTATGACGCTGTGGGGATCCACCATTTACTGAGGCATAATAGATTGCTCGCTTGGGCTGCCATATGGATGTTTATAATTCGAATCTGGGTGTCGTCTAAATTGCTTTACTCGAATTTCAAGGAACATATAATATTATGCTTGAAGTTTGATATTCTGAAGAAAGACCAGGTACTTTGGTTTAAAAAAGATTTACATTGTGATTGTAAAAGATTGAAACTGTTTTACGCAACCATCGGCATACTTTAGCTATTTAGCAGGCGGACTATTTCAACTCTGCCTGAGGGCCAACCTGGAGTAAATCGGTTTCGCTCGCCAGCACCAAAGAGCTCGAGAAAATAAGTTCCCAGAGAATCGAACTCTCATCTTCTACGTGTTACAGCAAAGAGCCTAACAATGAACCCATTGACTTCTGTGCTCTTTTTGCGTCTAGTTGAGTCTTTACCTGCCACGGCGATGAAAAACAAAATCCAAAACGATCCGTCTAAATTTTTATCCAGAGGTCTAATTTCAGGGATAACAAGTTGGCAAAGTTATAATGGAACATGCCGTTTATGTATCCTTCCGCTCAACCTGTAAAGGGAAACATCCTAGAAGTCAACAATTCCCTTGTCTCCGTTTGTTTCATTAAGTCGTGGGGGTGGTGTCTGTCTGTCTGTCTGTCTGACTGACTGCCTCTCTCTCTCTCTCTCTCTCTCTCTCTCTCTCTCTCTCTCTCTCTCTCTCTCTCTCTCTCTCTCTCTCTCTCTCTCTCTCTCTCTCTCTCTCTCTCCACCAATCAGTTCTAATGGAGGAAGACCTAATAAACGATTGGATCCCACCTCTAAACTAGTATTTTGTTGTAAAGTGTGTAGAACTGACATCAGAACAACAACAAAATAAGCTAAACACACTTTCTCATAATCTATTAGCATTAATTTAACTTCGTTATTGTTGCTGTCGTTTTTTTTTGTCTGCCCTCCAAAAGGTAACGAGATTGAACAAAGAGGCCACTCCTCCAAGGGCAGTGCTTTTGACTGAAGAGTCTTTAGGCCATTCCCAAAGGGGAGATATTAACATGTTCTTATAATACACAGTAGAATTGTAAATGGGCTGATTTATCAATGTCATGATCATACCTAACCGGAACAACATAGGGGGAACTGTTGCTTTTTCTTTTCTCATCCTTACTAACGTCAGTTTTCCTCTACTTCTTTTGTATGTTTGTCACTCTCTTGTGAACTGCTATTTCCGGGGTGCCTTGATAGTCGAAGCAGACTTTGTGCTGTTGAGGCTATAGAGAGGTGAGCAGAGCTAGCATGATTCCCCATTTGGACTTCTCTGTTGACATCCACCACTTCGCGATTATATGACCTTATGCAGTTACGAG